TCCCTGTTGATAGATCGGGCTCATTAATCAGCGTGATGGACGCTTAATTTGACCTAGGTCACGAGATTAAAGCGAGATCTGGATTTTTGTTGTCTTTAAACACATGTTCTTTCTTGTAAAGTGTCACTTAATTGTTTCTATTGAGATTGATAAAGGTCCATGTGTCATTCTTTAACTTTATCCGAACTTTTACTAAAAAGGACCGACTACGGCGAAAAAAAATGTTTTAAATTTTTCTTATGCACTTTTGAATTTTGGTGAAAAATAATGGTATTTTGTGTTTTGATATCTTTGGTATTCTAATTTTATTAAGGGCTTCAATCCCTTTGAGAACCCTCATTTTTACAATTAAAAAAATATTTTAGGATTTTCTTTTTGTTAGTTTACCTTTGAATTACGAATCTGATTTTAATTGAAGAACGAAATTGAGCATTGTGCATGTAGTCAATGAATTATCTGTATTAAAAAGTCTTCAAACTCTATATTTTATGAAAGTCCTTCACTAAATCTGTGGTATGTATTATCCACAAAAAGATTCCTTAAAAACAATGTTTTTCGACTATGCAATATATACATGTATCTGTACATTATATCCTTTAAATATGACTTTTAAATATGTTATGAGAACCAAGACTAGTACGAAATGCATAATTTTTAGCCGGGCTTATTGCTCAAAGAGCAATTGCCGGCTTATGTGATCCTGTTCAAGGCAGGATGTTAACCCAATAGTCGCCATTTTAAAGTTATGTGCAAAAATATAGTTCTTACGCTCAACCGCAAAACTACGGAAGCCCATTAGTGCCAACCTCTATATATAAAGGAAACGCAATATATATAAGCAAACCTCTACATATAAAGAGAACGCAATATATATAAACAGAACCTCGATATATATATAAAGAAAAGATATATATGCGATATATATAAAGAAAACGATATATATAAACAGAACCTCGATATATATAAAGAAAATGCGATATATATAAACAAAAACTCGATATATATAAAGAGAAATGCGATATATATAAAGGAAAAATTTTCCATCACGTGATCCGTATCCCACAGATCTCGATCAAATGATATACAGATTAACCCCAGGCAGGGGAGAAACCATTAATAGCTCTCTTGTAATTACGTTCACTTCACAGAAGCAGCATAATGGTATGTATTATTTAATACTTTTTATCTATATTTCATCATGTTCATACACAATGTATCAATGAGTTGTATAACTTTGCAAAAGAGCGCATACATGTAATCTATTGAATAATTTAATGAAGTTTTTTTCTGCTCATATATTTTTCATGTTTTAGGTGAGCTTTATTTTGACGACCTTCCTTGTTCTATGCTTTACAAAAAAAAAACTTTGCTACTTTACCTTTGGCTCCACAGTTAAGAAATTATGAGACTGAAGAGGAATTACTCAGGGCGTATATGTCAGAAGGATATTCTTACGATATAATACTGATGTCTCTGACCATGTATCATGGTTTTGAATGGGGTTTAAGGACTCTTAAAAGAAGGCTTAAATCATTTAACTTGTTTCGGAGGAAAAACCCAAGTCCGATAGGAACTGTAGAAGAAAAAATTAGTTTAGAGTTGAGTGGACCCAGCGGAAATGTAGGTTACAGAGAATTGTGGAAATTGTTGAAGTCTAAGTATCAGTTGTGTGTTTCTAAGAATACAGTAATGCGGCTATTACAAAGATTGAATCCCGAGGGAAGTGTAAGAAGAATCAGACGCCGTCTTCAAAGGCGTGTCTATGTAAGTAATGGCCCCAATTTTACATGGCATATTGATGGCTTTGACAAGTTAAAACCATATGGGTTTGCCATTCACGGTGCAATTGACGGATTTTCAAGACGAGTTCTTTGGTTAGAGGTGGCTGCATCTAACAGCGACCCGGCCGTAATTGGGGAATATTTTCTTAATTGTGTCGAACAATTGCAAGGATGTCCTAGAAATCTTCGAACAGACCCAGGCACTGAAAATGGTATTCTAGCTACAATTCAGACAATATTTACCAATGATCCTTCCAGTCATTCCTATGTAACGTCAGTAAGAAATCAAAGAATAGAAGCTTGGTGGAGTTATTTTAAAAGGAACAGAGCACAGTGGTGGATGGACTATTTTTCGGACATATATGACTTTGGAATGTATAATCCAGATAATAAATTCCAACGTTCATGTTTTCAATACTGTTTCATGGACTTCATCCAAAGGCAGTTGAATGAAACTGCAATGGCATGGAATTGTCAAAGAATAAGACCAAATACTGGGTCTTGTCCGGCTGGAATTCCAAACGAAATTTTTTTCCTACCAGAACTTTATTCTAAATGTGACTTTAAAAGGCCCGTCACTGCACAGGAAATCGAACATCTCCGACAAAACACGAAATCTAAATCTATCTGTGACGATTCTGCAATTTATGAATATCTCAACCTAGTAAAATAAACTTGCAAGAGATTTAGTCACCTATATTCTTGTGTTTGCTGTAAGCTATGATTGGTTGAGAATTAAATAAAGTTTTACATTCTGGATAGAATTAAATAAAGTTTTACATTCTGGATAATTAATGAAATGTACAAAAAATTAACGTATTTGAATACACACTCACCATCTTGTCTCCCTGAAGCCAATTTTTCGCCACAGATTGAGCAAAAGATATCTCTTTGATCGTCTGCACCACAAGATTGACAATTATTCATCTTGTAAGTTTGCGTTCAAACATGAATTGTGATGCCATGTATTAAGACAAGGAGCCTCTCAGTGGGATGCTGGGGGCATCACTGATGTAATAAAGGTCAGTAAAGGTCACGCCATGGAAAATTTTCTCTTTATATGTAGCGAGTTTTTGTTTATATATATCGCATTTAACTTTATATATATGGAGGTTTTGTTTATATATATCGCATTTCCTTTATATATATTGAGGTTCTGTTTATATATATCGCATTTCCTTTATATATATCGAGGTTCTGTTTATATATATCGCATTTTCTTTATATATATCGAGGTTCTGTTTATATATATCGCATTTTCTTTATATATATCGAGGTTCTGTTTATATATATCGCATTTTCTTTATATATATCGAGGTTCTGTTTATATATATTGCGTTCTCTTTATATGTAGAGGTTTGCTTATATATATTGCTTTTCCTTTATATATAGAAGTTGGCACTAATGGGCTTCCGTACTTTTGAGATAATACAAACGCTAAATAAAGCAACAAAAATAAAACGAAGTTTTATCCATATAAAATAAACATTTGTAGTAATGACTTTGAAAACATCACAAGTCAAAGAACATAGTTCATTAGCGTAAGGACTTTTGATAATCAGTGTTACCGTAGTTCTCTGCACATACGAGGTAAAGCAGGAGAGGGAACCAGACTGGCCTGTTTATTTACATTCAGCTGCGGTACCAGATTAATTCTGATTCTGACAAAATCGGACCGTGGTTTAGGATTGAAAAACTCACTGTCAGTGTCTTATCATTTATATTGATAGTTTTAAAATAATTTTTTCACCAGAATATAAACGTGATTCATGTAAGAAATCCATTCTACTCTGTAAATGCGCCCGGCTCTCTGTACTTCTGAGTACTTTGATTTTATATTTGGAAAACAAATTAGTTCCCTTTACTATACAAGTCTATTCATTATTACTGTAATATTGTACCGAAAATTATAAGAAATTTCTGCGGAGATCTAAAAAGCTTGGCAAGAAACGTCAATTCGATACATTACTGATTTCATGTTTAACGTGTTTTACAGTTTGCAGGTTGGACAGGTATTAAATGTGGTTCATAACTTTATTTTAAAAGCACCTAATTAAAAGTATGAAAACTAGTTTAAATTGTTTTCAATCTTGGGAAAAAAACAAAAAACTTTGTTTTCAATGAACAAACTTTCACGCCATCATTAATTAAGCAATTGCGTCGGTAAGGCGTAATACAATATGTGTCAAAACACTGCTTTTACCACCATAAGATGAAATTTTATTTATGATTCCAACTTCAGGCCATTTACTGAACTTGTTACATAATTAAGAAGAGTTTCTGCAAAAATCTGTCAATCAAAAACCACAGGCTTGTACAAAAAAAAAATCTCGCCGAAAGAAAATAACACTCCCACGAGACTGGTGTGTCCTTGGGAAACGTAAACTATACGGTCCTAATAAATAGAAACATGGATCTTGTCTAAGACAATAACAAAACGTCACAATGCACTCTTAATTATTTTATTACTGTTTTAAAAAAAATATTTTGTTATGCAAAATATTACGTCCTCGGTTAAGTCAATTTTGTCAGTGCATCACGTGAGGTTAATTAAAAACAATATGCAAACTATTAAGCCAGAAATTTCTTGACATAAAAAAAGTAAACTCGCCCAAACTTCAAAAACCAATTTCTTTGGGGGGGTCGATGACTTTTCATACCACTTTAATACAAAGTCGCGTTTACCAGGGGGGGGGGGTCTTCGTTTTCCGAGGAGGGTCCAAGTTAACTTTTTTTTTGCTTTTGTATGTAAATTTAATAACCTTGCAAAATCCAGGGGGGGTCCTGACACCCACCCCCTCTAGATCCGCACATGGTAACAGAGTTGTGGGATGAGGGTGGGTGGGGCTCGATTAGTAACGCAATTGTTGTGTGTTTGTTTGTCAGTGAGTGGCCACTGTACGAAACGGAAGTAACTAAATGCATCAGGATCGATGTCAAACACTTCCATGATCTGTGCCAGAGGATGTTCCTTTTTGTGGTGCCCTTGTTTACATTCTGACTGAAACATTACATTTATTTTATACTCCTGTATAAGATTTTCTTATTTAACATTCCAAGCCAAATGATTGAACTCTTTTTCAGTAACATCACATTCCATTCCATTTTATCTCCCCTTGATTACAGGCTTACGGTTTCTTCTGAATTCCAAGCTTTCTTATGACATAAAAGTCTATCTCCTATATATAGTCTTTTAATGACAATTCGTGATATTTTCAGGTGATGACACAAATTTCCTCCCTTCTCTTTGTGATATATACCTACCTATCAGTTGCCATTGGTAAGTGACCTGAGTTTACTTTGTTGTGTGCATTACAATTACAACAGTAATTAATATATCAAATACGTGTTCGAACTAATTCTTTATCTGTTGCAGAATAAAACACTAGCACAAATTATTTATTACATATTTTAAGCGTTGGTATGCTTAATATTATTTTCTTTAATTATCTCCTATTAATTAAGAAAAAAAAGTTTAAAGACTCTAACTTGTGCACATAAGAATTTCATATTCTGGTACCAGTACGGGATAAATTTGTACGATATAACGTACCATTAGATCGTTTTTTTGGATGACTTGTTTCAATTTTAAGATAAATGTTAGCTCTTCGTTTTTAATGCCAGATTTCACTATGAAAATTATCCTTGACGGTCAAAAGGGGACGCTTACTTGTCCAAGTCACGGGATCCCATCTCTGGAATCCCCAGGGACCCGTTCTGTGTTCTCTTCACAATTTATATTGTTTTAGGTTTTTGGGGACCAATCTCTGTTCTTCATCACCACCTCATACGTATAGAAGTAAAGTGTGGCTCAAGGACAGTCATGATGGCGACAGATTCAGTTTAGATTGTCAAATCAAAATTCAAATGGGGTGGGGGTTAATATCCAGTTTTTTTGCAGAAAAAAAACTAACACAAATAAAACAAAGAAGATGAAGATTAACTGTTTTATTCTCCGTCTTATTTTTTCCGATATTTTACAGCTGTTTCAATCTACGAAAAATGTACGAGTCATGAACAGTGTCCTGTCAACGCTAGATGTCGCCCTTCAGGTTGTGATGGTTACACGTGTCGATGTGACGTCAATTTTGTTTCCAATGATGAAAAATCGAGTTGTTTACCAGGTACATATATGCAAACTTACAAAGGAAAAACATAAAATTCATTAGCTTCATTAATTAAAGCTGTATGTTTATTAGTTTAACAAAATTGTGTCATGTTATCTAAACGTTCAATGCATTATTTACCAAACATATCAATAAATCTACTTATTGCAAACATTGGATTTAACGATAACCGTTTGGAACATATTATCCTCTTTTATTAACATGTTCTTTGACATACTTGCATATATCTGCATGAAACGTCTTTCAAATTATTCCATAACATGACACCACGCCCATCTATATCTTTTCTTGATCAGCCCGACGAATTGGATACTCGTGTAACTCTACGTCCAGTAAATGTTTGTCCCACTTCGCTCTGTGTGAGGATAGCGCCTGTCGGTGTAACGACCTGATGGAAGTGACCCCGGACGGTCGGTGTAAGGACCCCTTCTACAGCGTCCTGGAGGAGTCCTGTCAGACCAGTGAGTGTGCCGGGGGGACCGTCTGTCAGGGGGGCACCTGTGTGTGTCCCGAGCACCTGAGGCGACTGACCGATGAGGAGTTCTGGATCGATCCAATGAATACTGACACATGCATTGATAAAGATTTCTCTGTCCGTAAGTAGATGATAAACTTGAATATTGATATATACAGTATTTTTTTGTGTTGGATAGTTAGTTTTACTATACAATTCATTTTTTTATGAAAATAAAATATATGTTCCAATTGTTGACTGTTTCTTATCGAATTCTCCCTCAAATACTAATTTTACGATTTTAAAATATATTATATAGCTTTACGTCGAACAAAATGTAAATATCCATTACATGCACGTGTATCTCTTCCTTATTCACCTAGATTTATGTAACGGAACACAGATAAATATCCCAGAAGGCCTGATAACTACACCAATTCCACCAACAGCCTCGCTTGCAGTTTCCACCACAGATCCTAGTCTATCAGCATCTCTAGCGAATGCTGGATCCATAATTACTGACACAAAAATATACGAAACGTGTACCAAGTCAAAACAATGTCCAGAGCATGCGCAGTGTCGTCCTCAGGGTTGTAAAGGTTACAGTTGTTTGTGTGACGAGGGATTCATGGCCACCCCGGACAGAACTTACTGTGTAAAAGGTAAACCATTTACAAACTTTTAAAATATTGTACTATCAACATGTTTTCTGCACCATTTGATTTGAGATACCCCGGTATTGTCTTTATTATGGCAGTTTACTATTATGCAAGTACTGTAGCTATACTTATATGTATCTATATTTTCCTATAATTTAATTCTGTTTGTATTCTTGTCTCTCATTGGTTGATTTCCAAAAAGGAACGCATAACATTTTGTATAATCTGGTTTGGTATGGGGACACACCCCCTTGACAACCAGCTGAATCATCTGTATCCATCAATCCCCTCATTTCTAGTCCTTCGGATTCATGAAAAATTCCAGATTTAATGAATGTACCTTTAACTTCAAACAGTTGCTCGATCTTACCTCATGTAAACAAGCATCATGGCTGCTAGATCTATGTATCAGTTTTTACCTCCCCTTGCTTCCCATCACTTCCGTTACTACGGTTGTATTATTGCGCGGTAAATTTGAACTAATAAAAACAACACAATTTTACATCCCCAGTTGTTTAATTATTTTAAAATTAAATTATAAGGAATGACTCTAATTCTTGGCCAGATTATCGAGTATAATATGGTTTGGGTCAGTTTACGCTTTTTTATAATCCGCTTCGCGGATTATAAAGCGTAAACTGACCCAAACCATATTATACTCGATAATCTGGCCAAGAATTAGAGTCATTCCTTAAATGTTACAGTTGTTTTGTAGCATATACATTTATGTATCTATATTTCCCTAGCCTCCAAAATCAGCGAGCCCTGTAACACCAACACTAGCTGTATCTCGCCGTTCGCCTTCTGTGACGGCGTCTGTCGGTGTCTAGACGTCTTTGTCCCTTCCTCCGACGGACGATGTAAACTTCCGGATATCAGTTTTGTGGGGGAGGAATGTAGTACGGACGAGTGTGAGTACCCGGCTAAATGCGTGGGCGGATCCTGTCAGTGTGTAGGGGAGTACAGAGCGATAACAACCGAGGAGTTCTGGATAGACCCAACCAATATCTGGCAATGTGCCAAAAACGATACGTCATTAGGTATGTGTCTGCCAAAATACGGCTAGGGCTAATTCTAAAGCTGTTAAAAATGCAATAAGGTTATCGTCAAAAGTTTAAAATGTTGGTACTCAAAGAAAGGAATACACGTGTAAAATTTAACGAAGCTTTACAACCAAACATTTTTAAAAAGAATATGGCTTAGGGTTAATCCGAATTTGTTCGTCAAATAAATCTGATAATTGCAGACATGTCTTACTTCGTTTAAGTTTCCTAGCATATCCATTTTATCTGCAGAGTTTTAAAATATTAAAAAGATTCTATATTTTAATAACCAGAAAATGATCGTTTTTGGAATTGAAGAAATACAGCCCTTCAAATTTCGTCTGTATAAAGATATATAACTCTTACATAATAATGTTATCTTTTTAGCTACTTGTAAAGGCATGGAGGTAACGAAACCAACAGCTGTTATATCTGAGGAAACAAACGGCAATACAGAAAAACACTCGGATCCAGTAACAACAGAACAAACGACCTCAACATCAAAGAAAATGCCAACGTCAGAACTCGATCAAACTACACATCATGACCGTACAACAACAGCCATCAATTATACAAATTCCAGAACAACACTCGTGATGTCAACTTCAACAGTCTCATCAACTGTGTCAACTTCAACAGCCTCATCAACTGTGTCAACTCCAACAGCCTCATCAACTGTGTCAACTTCAACAGCCTCATCAACTGTGTCAGCGCTAATGCAAGAATCTACTTCACCGAACACGCATTCATCTTCAGATGTTCCATTTGTAACTTCACCAAATGATCTTACAACTATAACTCCTGTTACTTCTTTTACTTCAACAAAGAAATCCCTTACAACGACAGTACCAATTAAGCCGTCTTCTATTGTGACCGAAAATGATTCTATTTCAACTTCTGTTTCAACTGTAACCAATTTAAAAAGTGCTGATGTTACCACCACAACTTCTTCGAAAACGACACCCACAGCTGCTTCCTTCCTGGCGGAGACAACCTCCTCTAAATCATTACAAAGCAAGACATTTACAACAACCACTGAGGTATCAACAATGCCATCAGAGTCAACAACAGGAAAATCAGAGCCCTCCAAAGAATCAACAACACGGACAAAACAATCAAAAGAGTCAGCATCAGTAAGCTATACTAGAAAGGAATCTGTTTCGTATGAAACAGAAAGATCCTCTACAATAGAGGTACCCACAAAGTCCGTGTTGCATGAATCAGAAAGATCTTCTACAACAGAGGTACCCACAAAGTCCGTGTTGTATAAATCAGAAAGATCTTCTACAACAGAGGTACCCACAAATGGTGACGCTGGCACCTCCACACTTACCGAAAGTGGTTCTGTAGACGTAACCAACACTTCAAAAGCTACAACATCCTCAATCAGTGCTTATGAAGTAGTTAAATCTTCTACGCCTAAAACTGATTCTCCACCTAATCTAACGTCAAATAAATCAGGATTCCCTAGCAAAGTAGAACAGATTCCTTCTACACCCTCAGGTGGGAATGCTACCCTCAGTAGTACCATCAGAACAGTACATAAAAACTCCTCACATTTTCCTTTTGGACCAGGTCATAACGACCATGATCGTAAGTTAAAATAGTTTATATTAGACATCTTTTTTTGTCAATTCCCTCCTTTTTTTAGATAATAAATCGTATTTTTTATTCATAAATCGCCATTGTTACATGTATATTTACCTTTTCAAATCAGATCTATTCCATATATAGATTATCTGTGATGCTCAGTATCCCCTCTCTTCTATACTTCGTATATAGATTGTTTTCTATTTATAGATTACCTGTGTGAGTCTTACTCTTTTATCTGCTCTGAGATTCTCTGTTTCCCCTCTGTTCTATATATAGATTGTTATTTTTTATTTATAGATTATCTGTGTAGTCTCATTCTTTCATCTGCTTTGAGATTCTCTGTATCCCCTCTCTTCTATATATAGATTATTTTCTATCTATAGATTACCTGTGTGAGTCCCATTCTTTCATCTGCTCTGAGATTCTGTGTATCCCCTCCAGTTGGGTTTGTGACGGCGAGAGGAACTGCCCGGATGGCAGAGACGAATCACTATCAATATGTAGTAAGTAGTCCCTCCCCAATATCATTATAGTCAAAGAGGGCTAAAACGAATAATTAACAAATGAAGCATGTAGCCCCTCTAAATCATCATCTACTTAAATCTTACTTCATTTAAAAATAACAAATAATTGTAGACGAGGACCGTGTTTGCCCTGCGGATGAATACAAGTGTTCTAACTTCCGGTGTATTCCGGGGTCCTGGTTGTGTGACGGGGAAGTAGATTGCCCACTCAGAGAGGACGAATCTGCAGCGGCCGGATGTTGTAAGTATTTACACATGAACACTATATTATCATCTTGTGCCTCCATAGAGCAGGTATAAAGAGAATGGAAGCAAATTGTCTTCGTGTTTAGAGGGAGAGATTGTGTACAATTGTTTTTGTTTGAGAAGAAATAAATAGAGAAGAAAGAAAGAGAGGAGGGAGTAACGATATTGAATTTCAAATGTATGTTACAGAGGGATGTACATAAAGTATTCAATCAAGAGAGGACATATTTAATTTCATCCTTGAACAGGTTAACATTTTCCATTTTCTGTTATTATATGAGAAAATCTTACATGTGTAAGTAGGGATTGAGTTTGGGTACCTTCCCTCCAGCAATACTGATATTTTGAGCGTTTGCCTTTTCCTGTACAGTACAGAGTGACTTTGACTCGGCCACGGAGACCGTCACCTTCGAGACAATAATTTCCAGTATGTTTAACTCTTCCACAATGATTCTATTTAACGCCATCAATGACATCAGAGTCCACATTCCGAATTCTCTCAGGCCCGGTAATTCTGACGTCACTAGCCGTAGTTTCGTAGTTGAAAAAAATTGTTGAACTTTGACCTAGGGTCGATCCTTTGTTTTTGTGTTGTTATGGCATTGTATATCAGTCTTTAGTTGATTTAGTGTAACTGTAATAAGATGAGTGTAATTGTTTTACATACGCAGTACAGTTAAGGTGCGCAACGGAAATATCGACTGAATTTTGTATTTAAAAATGTATTCGTAATCGGGATGGCAATTATTTTTAGTACATTATATATATCGGATAATTGTAATTATGATTAATAACTACATATCGAGGACGATTATATTCTATATTTAGTCCAGTCACGTGATGCGGAAGTCACGTGATTTTAGCGCACTGACTTGAAGTATTGATGTTACATATAAATGTCACTAGTGCAAGGGCATAACCAAGTTAAATTTCCAAGTTTAGTATATAAATATTTTCAACACGTACTGTACTTTCTAAAAAGTGCTGCGATCCTGTCTAAATTCTGCAATTTCTTTGTTAAAATTATACTTGTATGACCGAATGCTATATTTTTTGCTGGTCAGCGGCATGAAATATTGATATAATTAAATTGTTTTTAAGATTTCATCAGGATCGCAGCACTTTTCAGATACCTTAATCGTTCTATAGTTGAAATGTAAAAGCTTACTTTGATCCACAGAATGTATGCCCTTGCACTAGATCGATTTATTAAGACCCCCCACATTACCCTCCGATGTACTTTTATACAAATATACGGCAGTGTCAATTAAATACGTAATGTACAGAAAATATATTAATAAGATAGTGAAGAAAACATTAAATTCAAGTTATTGGCCCATAGAATATCTGTAAGTAATATTTTATTTAATTAGAGAATACATATTTTGTTGAGAAAATATTACTTGATTTGTCTCTAACTGCATACAAACTACGTCACGTTGTAAGAAATGACGTCATATTGACAAGTGTATTGCTATCAGTGACTTGTTCATAACATGTTATGTGGGATTTAACTAACGACAAAGCAACACGCTATAGTAAGTTTTTATGTAGTTTGATGATTTCTTACTGGTTAAATTAGCATATAAACTCATTTTGTGTTATTTTAAAGAAATGTTGTATGACGTATATTGTGTATGATGTCATAGTCAAGTTTTCCCGTACAAATTAGGCTCCGCCTCCTTTTTGTAACCTTAACTGTGCTGCGTAGTTGTAGTGTCCATTCATTTGTAGTAAGTGTACTTTATTTTGTTTTGTGTAAAGCATCTATTTAAATGTGTCCTCAATTATTGTTTAGAAAAATTATAAACATAGAAAATGTCCCTTAAATTGCCTGATAAATATAGCATGTTGTTTCTGTTTAGTTTTGCTTTAGATCCCGATGTCAAGTCTCGTTTCCAGTCCTTTTTTCCTTGTTCTGTTCTGAAACTATGATTGATTTCATAGTGAAAGTAGAGTTTAGCCTTTAGAACCCTAACTGTTACATGAATAATTTCCTATTCCTGAATTCTGATAAGACCTTGTTGGTGCACTATAAATTGTGTTGATTTTCGACATTCAATCGGTAAAACTGTTGCTTAAAAAATATTACTTATAATTTCTACAAAGATCCCTTGTCCTTCACTTGGTTATTTAATCCTGTTACAGTGACGCCGAACACGACCCTGACCAATACTACACAGCTCCCGGAGGACGGGGGCCGGGAACCAGCTGAGAAGAGTTATACAGCAACAGCGAGCTTGGGAAGTCTAGGTCAGTTATATAAATGACGCGGAGTCCGTGGGTGAAGCAATGATAGCTACAAAGAAAACTGTGACTAAGAAATAATAGGTTTTGCCATTACGTATCGATAGAGCAAGATATATTTACAATTAGAGACAACCTGTTTCGAGAGTACTTTTGCTTACAAGATGTGTTTATTCATTGTCTCTTAAAATGCTTAAGTATTAGGGACATGGGAACCAGCTAACAATATTTTATTTCATGGACCATGCAGAGCTCTTTGTATGAAAAATAAAACAAATATAAATAGAGAAATGCTGAGTACGATGTTTTCAGATTCTTTTGCTAATTGATATATTTGACTGTTTTTACCTTCTTTTTATAGAGAGCATCGCTATCGCTGCGGCCGCTGGACTAGTCCTATTAATTAACATTATCGGGATCATTCTAGCTCTGACTCGGAGAAAAAGGCGGTAAGCGTTTTTATCTTTTTCTCCACATATAGGATGTATAGAAGCAAATTTGTAACAAGTATAGTCAAAAAAGAATTAAAATAACGGAATTATAAATTTTAGATTTCATATATTATTTAATGTTCAGTAACCACTTTTGATACGTGTTAGTTAGACTTTTTACCTCTCTCCTTTTAACATTGAAATATATTAATCATATGTAAAGCACAAGCCCAAAACATGACATAACTCCCATTTCTTTCTATTGGAATGATTATTAATATTAAACGAGTTCTTAATGAAGAAAGCAAACAAATACATATGCGTGAAAATTCAGTTTTATCTTTAGAATATATTGAAAAAAAACAAGTAGTTATTCTTTGATATTTTAACAGCCCTAGCCGGAGCATTCCAATGCCAACCAAAGATATGCTCTCCTATTTTTAGGTAAATACGATGAAATATACACTTAGCATAGATCTATTTATAGATTCACCGTAGGAAAAATATCACTAGTGTAGTTTAGTGTTGGCATTGGTGTGCTTCCTTTAGGAAATCAAGATCAGTGTAGACCCCCGTCCACCAAAATCCGTCGTCTAGTTTCAAATAATGTACGTAAAATAAGAAATACTTGCTATTTATGTTTATCAATATACATGTAGAATACTTCAAGACTAGAAAAGTAATCAGAAGGCTTAGTTTTAAAAAAGATTTAAATATTAAATTTCAGTATATTCTTAGAATATATTTTTCACCACCTTTTACTGTGTATTTGGGAGAAAAAAAATGTTATCTAATACTTGAATTGGGTATATTATAAAGTCTTATGTTAAGTACTAGTATTCTTCAACAATTAAACTTTCATTTGTACATTTAAACTCACCTTTATTACAAAAACATAATGTAATATATCAAGTTCTTTTAATACAATTTATTTTTTAGTATCGCTCTCATTTATTCATATTTCAGAAAAATTGACAAAAACCCTCCGAGTATGATGAATACGTCGGTGACGTCATCAGAAGACACAGAGAGCGCGAATTTCAAAATTCCGCGCCCGAATGTCCTCTATCCGCCGTACTATGTTAAGGATGACTGGAACACGTGGAACAGTAGCCATTTTACTCAGTACGCGGAACAAATGTACGCCCTGGATGAACACAGTGACTTCTACCCAGGATCCCTCAAAACTCTCTAATGAGCGGGTTAGTTAGGGAGCAGTCATTATTAAATTGATAAATGGAGCAAATGAAATCTGTTATGAAATCACTTTCCATGGAGAATGTTGGGTTTGTAAACACACCAGTGTATATTTGCTTGTTACAATATTTTATTTTTTTTCGGAACATTTCTTCTGAGATGAGCAGGAAACTTTTATTTGCTTTCTAAATTGCAAATATTGGAAGAAAAATATGTTCCTACATATTTGTTTGGATTAAAAGTACATAAAAATGTCTTAAATATATCCAAGAAATATTATCTTGTTCGATATTTGAGAATAGGTTTAAGCAAGGGCAAAACACCTAAAATAAAGGATTTCTCTCATCATCGGACACCTATGGGAGATCTTTTTTTTTTACTATCAAGCATGTGCAAGCTCGCCAAAATATCGCCATATGTAAATTTAAGAAACACTCAGGGGTCATTTGATTGGCTGCTGCACAGAATGGTGTTGGTAATTAATTCTTTCAGTCATGTGTAGATAAATACAGTAATCGATTGCCATGGACAAATTGAAATATTACAAAGCCCCCGATTACTTGTGATATAATGTCTCAAATGTAATGCTGTGTGATATACATGATGTTATGATTTATATAGGTACTTATTCATATAAAATATGTTTATTTTACATAAATTTGTACATAAAATTATATTTCAACTCTTTTATTAAAGATGGCTTTGTGCATTTTTTTCTGATGAAAACATGCTTAAATAATGTATAATCTTTTTTCATATGTTAACAGTTTCAAAGAATATCCATATTAATAGAGTGAAATAAATCGTTCTACAGCCAAATAAATCCATCTCCCATTTTAATTCCAATCTTACAATTTTAATAAAAGGAGAAAAAAAAAAACAAGCTTAAAATTGGCATTTTTGGGGGATTTTTTATCTTGCATAGAAACTTGTGATCAGGAATACCTTACATCTTTTTGTAACTTTATTGATATATTTTTTTTCTGTGTGTGGAAATTACTTTTGTCATTTTAGGTATTTTTTACTGTTTATATTTCCTTTTTATGTTACATCTTTGAATTGCATTGTGTATGATGAGGTTTCACTGGAGTACTAAAAGTTTGTTGAAAATACTACAGGGTATGATGTTTACATGTTGATGACATTTTTACGAATTCCATTCCTAATTGTACATGTCTCATTAGTGACCCATCCAAGGGATGACCTTTAACCTTTAACTGTCTGACTGTCTATCTGTAGTTGTTAGTGACCTGTGGATCAAAGATCGGGTTCGTTCTGTTCAAATTCTCAATTAGATCGGGTTTGACATTTTACATGTTAACAGTTTTAGTTTGTTATATATGATACATGTACATTTAATTGGATTTGGTCAATGTAATTTTTTCATGATCAATTGGAGATTTAAAAATATTTCAATTCAATGTTATTTGATATTAAACTTTTATTTGTATGAAACCTAACATTTCAAACTTATTCACATGTAAATCTCTCTGTTGTTTACAGAACCGTGCATTGTAAATTATCAATAATAAAAATATTCTATAAATCAGTCTTAAAATTTTTATGTATTTTTAATGATCTGGTATAAAGAAAACTCCATGTTCTTAAAATTCTTAAACCATGTAAGTTACGTTGTAAGTACTCTGCTAAATGTGTTGAGCTGTCCGCCATTGTCACGGTTTTATGCATCAAATCATAAATATAAATTGGTCTACCACCTCTTGTATTTCTCTTTTCACATTATCGTCCTTTCAATGATGGTAAACTTTATTTAAATGTTAATGTAAGAAGTTTAGATCTAGTTCAGTGTCCGAGTTTTCTTCAAATCAGATGAACGACATGCTAACAGTTTCTAAAATAATGCAAACTATAGACAAACACGTTTATGACACAGGCATATGAGTAGTATCATTCAAACATGGCGTATTTTCCCGATAAAGATTAATCACGTAACAGAGATCATTATCTATTTAGACTTTTTCTTCGTCGTGTTGTTCACATTTGAGTCGATTCAAAGAAATAACATTCTCTAGAGGTAACTGGTGTTATAACTACATTTATAAATGATATAAAAATATACCTACTATAGTAATAACAGGCTTATATAATTTGAGCAAAGATTTTGAAGCGAATGCACACTAATAATTAAAAGGACATGACAGTGTTCAAATACTGAACACAATGGCGGGCAGTCCAAAAAATAATTATAATGAAAATAATATAAATATCAAGCATTTTAAAATAATGCCAAACTACTACAATTAAATTAAGAGCTGACATATATCGACAGTTCACATGTATATGAAATGTTCAGTTTAAATGTGTTCACATTGACTAGTGATTTAAGATACTTATTATAAATAATCGTAAACTCAGGTAGTTTTATATCTGAACCAAACAGAAAGGGTTTCAAAAATGATTTCAACAATTCATTGATGAAAAAAATTGTACATTTTCATTTCCAACACAGCTGAAAGATTTTAGAGTGACTAAGATGTTTTGATTGCTAAATTAATGCCTAATAAAATACACCGACGAAGTAAACATCAACTGACTCAAAAGGTAAAGATTCGCTGTTGCTGTTTACAATATAATGATCGTATACGGCAAGCCACTTCATAATTGTGGTATTATTATTATCAAAAAGTATCTTTAAAAAATATTTAAGATCACCAAGATGTGTTGAACATATGCTCCAGATAAAAATGTAAATTGCTAAAATCGCTAAAAATAAAGTAAATGTCAATAAAGCGGACGGAGAAGCGGGGACGTACTGTGTAAATTGATAATGCATAAAAACAGCAAAAAACAAATGGACAGGGGATAGTGAACACGAAATAATAATTATTCAATAAACTACTGAAATAGGAAACACTGACTGTTCGTGTGAACAGAGGATAAAATAAGAATAAAATATATTCAAAATCAAACTGTCAAAAAATAAATACTTTTACATAATAATAACATGTATTTAAAAATCATGCAAAAATTGAGAAAAAGAATCAAATACGTAGGAGTAAAAGCATAATTATATTTAAAAGAAAAAAAGAAATGAATGAAAAACAAATCTATTTTAACGCTTTCATTCAACTCTATCTGAAAAACATATTTTGTCCCTTATTGAATCGCTTCGGTGAGGATAATGTTTGATTTTCACTTTCACTTTCGTTTTCCCATGGCGGAACTTCGGCGAAGCTCTTCCGCTTTGGTGACGTTGTTGGGGTCAAAGAAAGGTCAAAGTTGAACACACGGCGCAAAGTCGGAGAGGATGGAAATTGTCTGAAAAAAAAAAACAGAAATCGAGTATTACCTGAACAGGATAAAATGGAATAATCAAACCACTTTCTGAAATCTATAGATGTCAACTTTTGCAGCAGTTGACAGGAAAAAATAGAAAACAACATGGGATGCTTACTCCTAATTAGTAACCACATCTGGAAAGCAACTGTGAGAGCAGAGTGAAGTTCATAGTTGTCAAGTACTTTTACTTTTATTTTCAAAATCACTTACATTTCCTGAAAGGCCCGGCGTGGAGACTTTTCACCGGAAACTGGATAGGAGAACTTCCTGTCACGTGGCGAGAATGGCGAGCATGCGTTCCCGGGACTATTGGAAGGCGAATGAACATGCTGGGTGGGTTCAGAGCTACTGCGCATGTGTACCACGGCGAGGTTTTTCATGGTTTTCCTCCTGTACGGGGATGACACATTTTCTTTAGAGCTACTCCCGATTGACATTATCTCCGTGTCGCTTTTTGAGAAAGAAGAGTCAAGGACAGATTCAGCTAAAAACAATGAAAAAAAAGTGTTCAACTATAAGTACAGTTCAACCTCAATATCCTAAAAAGCCATGTCCGAAATAAAATTTGGGTTAGAAAGCAGGGGTCTTTTTTAAATGTATGTTCTTATTCTCAGTGTCTTCGTAACTTCAACAAATGAAAATTTTACGAAGTAAAGGTTAACTATCAAAAAGATTGCTATCAAGAATATCATCAGCAAATTGATATGATAACCTCTTTTATGTCCTTAATACATGTATATATATATATATATGATAATTTATCGTATATTTTTCATAGATATACTTCATTTGCATTGCAATATTATGAATTATACAAAGCAAAATATGTACCAATCTATAGAACGAGAATGAAAAATTCGAAACCTTCTTACCAAGTTTCTTTCTACAACGCAAATATTGCTCTTTTGGAATATCAACGCGTAGTATGACGTCATAAGCGTTGTGCTTTATCCTCACACTTTCTGTCAGGAAGCTGTCATTCATCAGTCTTGACAAATCACCAGTGACGTACATTCGCCATAACGCGTCTAATGACGTCACTGATGGACAGGAAATGACGAAAACTACACTTCCGGGGTAGATGTGTTCTATTGTTCTGCCGTGTTTACATATAGTTTTGATAGCGCTGAGAATTTTCATGGCCTCTAGAATTCTGTTATTTGTTTGACATAGCTCTCCTTGGAATCTCTGGAAGGAATTCGGTGTGTCGTCTCCGCGACGAATTTTCGCGTATGCATCTACCGCCATCTGTAAGATCTCTTGCTCCACAGACGCACATTTACAATTCCGCCCAGGCGCATGCTCTAACGACTGCAACATTTCCGTCACGTGATCTGATTCTTCAGCGATGGCTTCACATGTTATTCTCATTTCCACTTGATCTGTTCACAAGGAAACAATTCTTTAGAAAATGTTTAATGTTTAGAAACATAATATTTCATGAAGCCATGTGTATTTTTAAAATGTTCTCTTTTTTTCGACTTTAAACGGGTTGAAAAAAATTGCACGCAATAAAGAGTACACTCATAGTCTCATAAAGAAATAAGAAAAAAACTACCCGATCAACGTCGTAAGTGGTAAAAAACTTTATAGTTGTCAATGTTTTTTTACTCATAAATACAAAAAGAAACTGCTTTAAAAAGACGATAACGTGCCATTTCTTGGAAACTTAGACCTCGATGCGGACAGAATATGAATTTTTAAAGATGCCTCTGGTGAAGTTGATTTCAATAAAATAACACATTTGAATGATTCTTATGTAGAACCTGTAAAAACGAATTCCTTAAGATTTATGAAAACATTTTATGTTCACGGGCGTCTTTTTGTTACCTACCTCTTTTTCGCTTACGCGGACTGCTTTGTGCCCATGGAGATGAACTTTGACCTGAAGCAGTAGCAAGACATGGTGACGATGAAGGAGCTGGCATCCGGGATGATGGTGAAGGTTGTCGTTGCCTTGGTGATGCAGGTGGCGGAAGGAACTGTTGAACGGGACTTTTTTCTTGTCTGTGTTTACAGTAAGCGGAGTTACATCCTGTCGTAGCACAGCCGTCTACCCTGTCGCCATATTGAGCCCGCCCTCTATCAGTTCCGGTGTCGTACGTCTGATACCGAGAGGACGACATCGTCCGGAGTTCATCGATTATCCAGCGGGCAAATTCCTCCGGGTTTTCCTGCGGTAGTGATGCGTGTCCACAGCGGGATCCTGTATACAGTAGAACATGTCAAACATTTTTGGAATGAGAAGGAGTATTTGTACTTCTTTTAATGAGGTTTATAAAAAACAAATTTCTGCCGTTTATTATAGCCTATTGATTGTTTTAAGTAAATGATTTGATCTAAGCAATAATTAAGACTGACATTCTATGTTTAGGACCAAGTATTTTTGACAAAGTACTGAGTATACACTGTACATGCGTTCGGATATTTTAACGGATTTTTATACATAAGAGAACTTATATCAATTCCTATACCTTCACTGGCTGACGAATGCGGAGAAAACAGTTGTCTTTTTGCTTGTTGCTTCCTCATCAGTTCAAGTTGTCCCTTCATGAAGGAATTCATCCGCCGGAGTTCAGCATTGATCCGGGCCTGATCTGTCACGTGATCAAATGAGTCCGGTGGCGACTCCTCAGACGACATGTTTGGCGGGAAAATTCCATGAACCAATCTCTCTTCACGTAACATCGCTTTCTGGCTTGGTGGTGTAAAGGTTGGGTCGGACACACATCGTTTATATTCGCGCAGTATCTCCTGAATTTCCTCTGTCTCAGATTTAGATGGAGAATGTTCGATGTCACTGAAACTTCTAAGTGCTTTGTGTCTTAGATATGTACCCAGAGATTTCTGTTTATAATCCGGGGGAGAGGCACCACTTCCAAAGACACTATCACTACTAACATCATCCAGACTAGAAGATTTCATATAATCTAGGACGTTTTTATCCACATCTTTGTTTCTACTTTGAAAAGGGTGATTGTTACCTACGATCCGGGGGCTGAATGGTATCGGGTCGGATACACTCGGTACACTAGGGAAAACAAAGCCCCTCTCTGTCACCATAAGGTTGCTTGATTTGGCTGTAGTAGTACCAGTGTTGTAAGGTTCACCCCCACGCCCCTTGAATCCGCCCATCATCTCCTGGTGAAAATCTTTAGAAGAAAATGAAGCCGTTCTTTCATTCACCGTGTTTACGGTTTTTGGTGTACTGGTGGACATTGTTACATTCTCTTTGGGTTTCTGATCTTGTATTACTTTTGACGCCGGAATAAAATCCTCCTCCGAATTTGGGTTCGGATCTTCGGGATTAAGAACCCATTGTAGGGTCGCTGTATAAGGTTTTGGTGAGATCTTACTTTTGCAGGGGCTACATAGGTTTAAGGGTTCTAAGTCTGCTTGTTTTTGTGAAATTCCATCGCCCTTCTCCTCAGCTTGTGAAGGATGCCTTGTCTGAGAAATCGTGGGTCGTTTTGTTGGACCTTTGTTTGAAAACTTGATATCGGCTGAGTCTGAGCTTTCAGTAGAAATTTGGCGCTTCAACCGGAAGTTAGATGGGTCCTGTAACGGGAAAGGCTGCGCGCCGGAAACGGAAGTCTCGGTATAGGATTGTTGACTTGCATTCTCTACAAAACAGTACAGTGGAATACAGCTTACTCTGGCTTAGAGTCTTGTGGATCAAAATGAAGAATGCCTATTTTCTAGTTAACTCTACTTTTAATTGAGACAAACAGGCGAATACAGATAGACAGACAGACAGAGAGGAGGGGATTTACCATAGCTGAGTTGGTGTACTATGTTCCAGATGTACCCCTTCTGTTGGTCCGTTAGCTCTGTGGTGGTCGGAATGAAGAATCCTGGAGAGGGGGGTGGATTGTTCTGGTAATCGGTCTGTTGTCCCTCCCCTATAGATCCACACCTGGATTCTAGAGGAATGGGTGCGTTTCCGTAGCTGGTGTCAATCTGAAGAGGTGATAGACGTTTTGTCTGGGAGGATGGGGGTATAAGTAGGCCGGTATGCCTTTGGTGCTCCTACAAAACTGAAGAACTTGGTTAGCCTTAACTTGCTCTTTGCCTTTATACTAAGAGGTATGGCTTCACAATCGAGTGGATGTACTTTTCTGTAATTCCTACAACACATATGTTTGATGTTAATATCAGCAATACTTTAGAAACTTTTACTAAGATGTTGTTACCGAAATGTTGCAGTTGTTCAATTTTTTCCTTGCGTGTAGGAATTTATTATTTTCTTTTTTGTTACCGTAAACGAATGAAAACGTCATGTTTAAAAGATTTTGTATTTACTTTTTTATTTTATTCGATACGCTTATTTTCCGTGAAAATTACTGAAATATCTCGACAATTACAACCAAAGAGAAAATAAAAGAGCGTTTATATAAACAGTTCGTATATCCAAACCTGTTTATCCACCAGGGACGAGTGTTTCCGGTCCTTTTGTGGAGTTCCGGGTGGGGTGGGCGGGGAGTACGGCTCACTTCTACTTCCGGTTTGTCTAAACATGTCTGAAATATAGGGAAAAAGAGTTCTTAAATTCACCCAATCTATGTTTCCAAAACACTACCTCATCAAACTTATCAAAGTTCAGTCTCTCAAGTTTCATGCCAAAAGGCATTTCATTTCACAAATTCCAAACAATTTTAAAAACACATTTGAATATCGTCTAGGTGCAAGTGAAGATTTGTATTATTTTATAGACCTTCCAGAGCAGAACAGAATGGAGAATTTAACATTATTACATGTATGAATTCTGAAGCAAGGAAAATGTTCTTTTGGTACAAGTATGTATAATTATTTGTTCCTTTGAATATTAACACAATTCTTAGCATCTTGTTACTTCATTTTTCAGAACATGGAAATTATCGGTCTAAGATAAGCTCGGATAATATTTAGGCTTTCATTTTCTAATTATTTGATACGCTTGACAAACAGAAAATATTACTTCTATTTTCAAAGTCATTTTTAAAAGAATTTTTTGTCCATTTCACATTTTTTTTCACAAAAAACTCCATATTTTTTTCCTTGCAGTGATAGCATAATTAGCTTGCAAGTTATAAAAAATGGAAACTAGTCAAATCTCTCTCTCTCTCTCTCTCTCTCTCTCTCTCTCTCTCTATAATTGAGTTGGGTGAGTTGGGTGAGTTAGTTTATTTTATTGTATTTATTATTTCCTTTTACTAGACATTTTAAATACTTCCAAGAACTTTTAAACATTTGAGGTGCATATTACTTTTTTCTTAAATAAATGCTTAAAAATTGCCGAGTATTCATTCAGAGGTTCATTTACACAAACCATATCATCGTATAGATGTGGAGGCATTAAATTCATATTTAAAATTTTGTATTTAAATTCAAAACAAATTAAAATTTAGATTTTTATGTCTGAGGGAATTCCATTGATTTGTTAAAGCAGTATTTTTCTCCGAACGTCAAACAAATAAAGACATATCGGTTGAAATTTAAATCTCAGCTTCGAGTGGAATTTTTATCAATGAAAAGCTTTGAATTGGATTGTAAACGTTAACATCCGGTGTATTTTCATGGTTAAGAAGATTTTAAATATTGTACTCTGTCTAACGCTGATAAAATTAATTGATTTTTAATAAACTAGAAGTTTTAAGCCTAATATACTTATAAGCGATAGAAATTCTGATTTTACGGTCCTTCTCATAACTTTCACTGTTACAATGATTGCAATTTTTTTTAAATGGAATTATAATATTTCACATCAAAGTCAGACTGTATTTTAATAATGATCTGGCATCTATAAAACGTTTTCATAACCAAGCGATAGTGTATCGTGACCGACTTAACTTTTGCTGTTTTTATTTGTTTTTTTTTTTAAATTACTAGTTCAGCTGCAAAAAATACATCTTTCTAAAGGGAGTCGTTACAATAATGTTCTGAATATAAATCACCTTGATTAACCTGATTGTGAAGTGATTCCCAAAATTCTATCTAAGTTTATATATAAACACCTTGTTAATTTATTTTGTCATGTGTAAAAATAAAATTGTATAATTTTTGTTATGAAGTATACAGGTGAAAGCATTTTAAATTTTAGACACTTCTATCGGGCACAGTTTTAGGGATTCATTTGAATAAATTTGGGCCGAGAGGTTGATTACATTTCGACATTTTTTACATGCACCATGATTACATTTTTTATGTGTGTTACAGATGCAGTGATGGTTCCTGCGCTTACAAGAACACCCTTTGCTGACATTTTTTTTTTTTAAATTGATCCGCCTACGAATTTCAATTGGGATCTCCGTCTCTTTTATGTCCTTGAAGATCGTCTATGTAAGAGTCTGCAAATATTAAATATGACATTATTTACATTATAGGGCCCTTACCTGTGTGTGTTACCTGAGTTATATACCTGTGTTACCTGAGTGACGTGTGTAAATCTATACCCCGACTCCCAGGTGTTTAAAATGTCTGTACAAATATGATGAAAGATCCCCAGGTAAATTATGTACAGTTAGTCTTAACGAGTCTTCTATATAAAAAAAAAATGGGGGTTTTGTCTGTTGTTCAATAAAGGAGAGATTGTCTCAGTTTAATGGAATGATTATTGTACGTCATCTGGGATAAAAAAGGGGGGTGGTCCAGCAATGATTCAAGAACACCCTTTCGTTCTGAGAAACTGACATCATACAAGATAATGAATAAATTAAAGTACTGCAGAGTTTGCTAAAATTTATTTATTTTTTTCATTTACAATCAGAGAATATTTTTGAAACAGAATATTTCCGAATTGAACTGGTGAAATAAAACAGATCTTAATGAAACCACAGTTAAAAGCAAAAATATATTTTTGTTTCCATCAGAAAATGGATGATAGGAGGGCTGTAAGTGTAAAATACTTCTCCCTTTTTCTCTCTCTTGCAAGGATAAATACACTTTTGAAAATCATACTTCAGAAGGATTTTATCACAATATTACCTAAAATGTTTAGTATCATTTTTATTTATAGCAAATTTTCATGATTTTAAAACTTAAAATATGGAACTTTTAAAAATGAGTCCCATGTATAGAAGCGACCGCATTTTACTTAGATTATGTTCAAATTATACAATTCATAAGATAATATTACACTCAATTAAATTCTCCCAGACACCAGAATCCTGTCCGAGGCTTGTTTAAAATGTTCACAGTGCATCGTGCATTTTATCAGATAACAAGAAATCGATTTAGAATATTCATTCATAACAATTATCGGGGGACATCAGGGGATAATTGAAAACGCTAGATTCACAAAACTATCATATTGCCTCATTTATTACTTAGTATATATTCCAAAATGAAATATCATATTTTCACGTTTCATAATTTATTCATGAATGAGAAAAAAAATATAAATATATTTTAAGGTTGTAAGAAATTGGCTTTTAAATTTTACCTGTAAGAAGGTGGATTTTTTTTTAGATCAACCTTTGGCAGACCCCTACACTAGATATGATAATTTTGTCTCGATTTCAATTCATAGGCGCCTATTTCAAATTTAATTCAACTATTGCGTAATAAAAAAAAATATGTTCCTTCATCACTTCCTTAAGTCTTAACCCCATTCAAATTTTTTTAAAAAATGCTGCATTCAACAAATTAAAACGTATTTATTATCTATCTTGTCTAGATTTGGCACCCTTTTAAGAATACGATATATACATGTACAGGTGTAAATGACCTATATATAGAGTATATAAGACATACACTCACCTGTAGAGGATCCTAGATAAACTACCCAATTAGGCTTCAAGGTATCAGCATTTCACGGTGGATGGCATTTAAAAAACCTCTTACGTCAAACAGGTGCTTTTTAATTCCATATTGCACAGAAAAATATAACGGTACATTTATCCACGTGTGTTTAGATATATCTCAAACGCCCATTGCTAACTTAGAATTACATAGAATTACCGGTGTCAAAACAGGAGTGTAATCAAATTGAGTTAAATGTACAACAAATTATGTAAAATTTAGAAATACTAAATTATAAACCTTTTTCTCTCAATTCAAAAACTCGGTAAATGTCATTCCTCGGCCTTAGATATTAGTGATCGGAGGTCTATTTTTAGACACGTCAATCAAACCCGAGGAAGAAATAAGATATTGAGGTAATTTTTGAAGCGGTGATAAGGCATTTAAAACGGGGAAAACAGGGAGGAAAGAAAACAAAGTCAAGTTATCAGGATAAATTTGCTGTCATACTACCTGTAAATGTATAGTACTGATTTGGATAAGATAGACAAAATGACTGAGTCAAGATCACGGCTGATTTGTATACATGTATAAAGGCAAGGTAATTGGGACCCTTTTTATCCTCTTGCACGGATGAAAAATAATGTAGCTTATCTTTTTCGATTTTTTTTTTCCTTATAAATGAGTTAATTTTTATTACTTATCTTTTTTGAGTTTGTTAATTAAATTTATATTGCAATAATTGCCCCAAAGTAAAATTTAATAAACTATCAAAAAGAATTTGATAAATAAAAAAAAGAAAGCAACTTTGTAAATATTCATAGGCCTCGGAACCGGGGTGGGGGCGGGGGGCTAGGGGGGACTGTTTTGCAAAGATAGACATTTTCTATGCATTGAAAATTGGGGTTTACCTTTTTTGTTGGTTTAGACTCCCCTTTCAATTAGCCCCCCTCCCAACACTTTCAATTTGCTTTCGACGCCTATGATAAGTAAATAATTTTTTTGTGTTTAAAATGTTTTATTGGTGTTGTTGATTTATTTATGACACTTTTTTTTTATATATATATCAATAATTATTGATTTATTTTTTTCTTCATGATGATCTATAAAACTTTCGTTAAATTACCTCAAAAGACAGCACCCGGCTTCAAGAACATAATATGACAATAGTCAACATTTGAAATCACTATGATTCTTTAAATATTTTTGATAGTCTAACAATGATACAAATTTGCAAAATGTTCATGTTCATTTAAAGTGTGAATTCATGTTATGGACATTGGTCTTGAGGCTGAAATAGGTTTGACTTATATTGACAAAACGGTAAAAATCGGGAGTTCAAAGTTCAATTGACCAATCCGTTTCTCCCACTTCAAGAACTCGAGAACTTTTCAGATGAATTTGTGACATTTCTGTAGAAACTGTTAGAGTTAAATGGAGCGATTAAAGCTGTTCGCATTAAAAGAAAATAAAACCTTTTAAGATACATGTCTTAATAAGAATAACAAAATCTGAAAGGGAAACACGATTACGGTGCTATTCGGTTTTTAGTCCAAGTATATCTTAAGTTTTTCCGGTTTTTTTTTTACGATTTTGAAGTTTTACCTGCCAAGAAAAAAGTAAAATATCAAAAACGTGGAAAAAACTGGAAAAGTGAGATACTTTGCATACAAAACTATAGTTACTAAAAAGAACAGACTTTTTTGTTCATTTGCATGTTTTTTACTAAAGAAGATACTAATGGAGAAAAAACAAAGCATATTTGTGCATAAAACAAGTAAAGCTAAATATTTCATAAA